CAAATTATGCTCTTTCTCTCCCACTGCATATGTTTGAGAGTATGATATTTTGGGCATAAATATCCGATGTCTGCTGTCTGTATGTGTGCATTCCAGCTATATGACTAAAACTTTAGCTGTTTGTGGGTAAATAAAGGATGCTTCTTGTTTTTCTTCAAGAGAGACCAAATGGCTCTGTGAGGCAGTAAACTAGAAGCTCCCTGACTCAAGGTATGGCGAGAGGGCAGATAACTCCAGAAAGGGTTTTAGTCTGTACTCGTTCTTTAGCAGAGTTATTTTCATTTTCTCTACCCGTTTCTATACCAAATCTAATTTAGTCCTGACATCAACCCTGGAAATGACACAGGTTTATAGAAAAGGAGAAAAGGAGACTCAGAGATTATGTGACTTGTCCCAGATGACACAGCTTGTCAGAGGCAGAGTGCAAACTCAGAACTCGGGCTTCTGACTCCTGGCTTGTGTCTTCTTCCTAGTTCTGTGCGGGGTGTTGGAAGATACAATGTGCATAGGAAACAGAGCCAAAGGGGGTCTGTTTCCAGGTGAAGGCAAAGTGGAGAGCCTCTGATCAAAGGATGCCAGGACGACTTGCCTGCTCTATTCCCATCTCTGCAGCCTACTGGCGGCAGCAGCATTTCAGACAAAGCAGAGGCTCAGAAACTTCAAGATAATGGCTATTTCAAGAGCCACAAACTATAATTAGAATTAATTAGAATGTCAGAGGGCAATGATAAGACATAATAACATTCTGGAGCCTCTGGCAAGATGTGAAAGATATTTACTAATTCTCTTCAGCTCCTTAATTTGCCCTTTTTCTCAGTGCTCACTTCTATAAAGCAGGGATGTGACCATACAGGGTTGTTGTGAAGATCAAAGGAAATAATTGGCTAAAATTATTGTGTACCTCTGAAAAGGCACACAAAAGTTTCCTGGTTCATTCAACCAACTAACATTTACTAATCACCTACAATATTCCAGGAACTGTGTTAGAAACTGGACGGAGGCTAACACAAATGAGAAGCTCAGAATCACCATTACCATCTCCCCTACTGCCCTCTTTCTCTTTGCCCCTTGCTATGGGCCAATCTCTGAGTCTACACTGGACCAGCAGAGGGCTCCCTCTGCTGTGGCTCATTCAACAAATCATTAATTTACTTACTGTCAGCCAGGCATGGTTCTAGGTGCTGGGGATACAATGGTGAACAAATAGACAAGGTCCCGACCCTCATGGAGTTCACTGTCTACTGGGGAAGACAGATGCTAAATAAATCGATGTGCAAATAAACATATATTGACAAATCATGGTTAGGCTATCATAAAGTGGGGAGAGAGGAGTGGAACTCCATTTAGAAGGCCTCTCGGAGGAGGCATGAAGCTAAGATCCACAAAGATGAAAAGCTGGCATAGCAAACAGCCCAGGGAGGAATCCTCTAGGCGGAGTGAGTAGTGTAGCCAAAGGCCCTTGAAACGGGAGGGAATTTGGTGTCTTCAAACAACTGACAGAAAAACAGTGTGGCAGGGACCAGAGCAATCAAGACAGTGGTCCTAGATAGAATGGGAGGGAAAGGCAGGGGCAGGACCACATTGGGCCTGCAGACTGAGGTGAGGAATTCGCTGTAAGAACACTGCACTTCTAATGTTCTACTCTCTTCCCAGTGCTAGTGGAGAAACGACTGTGTTGTTCTGCTACTTCTGTCCTCCCGTGATGGCGATGAAAGGTTGGAGGTTGGTTAGAGAAATCTGGCATAGTACAAGCCACCAAAAAAAACTGTCAGCTCCTTCACTCTAGGTCACTAACTTCTAAACTCATGCCAAAGATTTTCATTCTCACCCTGATCACAGACCTACAGAAATAAATTAGTTAATTCAGTGGTCATTGTGACTGTTGCATACGGACTCCTTAGTTAGTTTGCTCAGATGGCTCACATCTCTTGGGGTGGAGTATTGATTTATCACTTAAAACCTAGAAGGGGAGATAAAGGTGCACAAATAACTGTATTAAAAGAGCGTGGTAAAAGCCACAAGAGGGGTAACAGAGGGAAATTATTGAATTAATAAAGCTCTTTCAATTACATGTTAAATGAACCATTGCGTTTTCCTCTCCAGTATCATGAGGTGGTAAATTATTAGTGGTGCAAACACTGCTTCCTGTAGGGAATCTCGGGAAGTGAGGCCAGATAAAGAAGGTGCTCCACATCCTGTAGGCAGAATGGAAATTGGTTGGGGATGTAAATTGGTACTTTTGGTACGTTTCTGGGAAGAGAGTTAGTAATATGGATGAAGGGCCTCAAAAATGTTCACTTCGACTCCATAATTCCGCTTCCAGGAAGCTACCCCCAGAGAAAAAAGGGGAGATTTATTTAAAGACAGATAAGAATTTTCATCATAAGGTCATTATACTATCAAGTGATTAGAAACTTCGTTATCCAACCTGGATTAAATAATTACATTATTGGAACACAGTCATGATGTAATTGCATTTCAAGGAAATTTTTGAAGAACAGTAGCAACTTCTGGAAATGTTCAAGATATCGTTTTAAAGGAACGGGCAAACTAACAATTACCATATGACAGGATAAATGCTTTGACGGAGCGAGGTGGGAACAACTGGAGGGGTGAAGGAAGGGCTCCCACAAAGACCGACACTTGAGGCGGGTCTTAAAG